ACGTACGGAGTCTGCACCTCTCTCCCTAGGTTGTGCAACTTAACTCAAAAGCTACTTGCTCTTCTGGACATGACAACTTGACCTTCCTTTATACCTTGTTCTATTTTCCGCAAATGTTAAAGTAAACAAAATGAACTCCCATTTTAGGACTGCCATTTGTTTTGCAATTTAGGGTTTGTTGAAAATGCGCCGTGTGTGACAATCAACCTTTTTAAAAAGCGCCAAACTCCAGCAGTCGTGTTTACATGCCCGCGCAGCTTTGTTTTGCAGCTAAATTCACATTTGTTTTTCCAATTAGTTAAAGGCATTCAGGGGACCCTGATTGCAGCAGAGACGTGCATTTCCAGACTGCGGAATGCTAACTCAGCCATAGAAGCATCATTATCGCTATTTCTCCCTGTCTCCAAACTAGTCGGTTATGCACCCAAAAGGCCATAAACTCGAATTTTTTGACTCTTCATAAGGGGTCAGCAAGCGATCCCATCTCTACCCTTTCTTCTACCAACCTAGCGTTATTATAATCCGGGTCCTTTTGCGCTCCATTTTTGCTTATCTTCTCGACGGTCTCCCTGTAAGCCCACCAGTATGGGTCTGTGGTAGAGTCTTCCGACTTAAACCCCCCTTTCACAGGTACATTTTCTTCAACTTCACCTGCTGTGACCCTGGTCCACTCGCAAGGGCAAAGCAAGATAACTCACCTGTTCGGGATATGGGACTTTACATTAGTGAGAGCCATCGATACTTGACGATTTACAGACTTCTGCCAGGCCGTCCGGATGTGCTCCTGCTTTAGATCTCCTAGTGTCTATTTTGGCACACTACAAGCTCATTTTTCTGCTCATATCTATTAGTACACATTAGATGATAGTCATAACACAAATCAGGTGTATGTACTAATACAGGTTTTTAGCATGGTTGACAGTGGTGGGTTGCAACACGCATAAAAACAAATAAAATGCGAAATGAGAGCAAGCAGAGAGTCCAGGCGTGAGAACGTGTTTTCTCCGCAGTATGGCTGCTACACGTGTTCCGTAATTGTCCGTGGACTTTTGGAGGGTGGTTGACTTCCTGCTTTCTGCGTGCGCGCGAGTCTGTGTTGACTGTGTTCGATTTCCTAATATGTAGGTCCGTTTGCGTGTACGTGGGCGTGTAAGCACATAAGTGCTCGCTAAGCTCACTAGACGGTACAGACAATCGATGTTCAATGAGTCAGCTTAATGTGACATGGTTTTTAGTATGAAAAAAGACAAGTCTCGTGATCCAGTTAGCGACTGTAAGCTGAACAGTGAAGTGTGTGGGTGACTGGGTAGCTAAATATCCAGTCTAAATGTGTGTCCTAAATCTAAAGCTGCGTGCAGCACCGCTGTTTGTTGCTTTGATCTGCTAGTCTGATCAACATTTTTGATAGTCCGTTTTTCAGTCATCTTACCATAACTGCCTGATCTGATATTAAAACATATTGACTGTGGGACGCAATTTCAGCCATGTGGATCATAGTTCAATTGGCTGCCAATAATATTTCTCGTACTAGACATGGCTGTAACCGTAGTCTCTTGCCCAAACCTCCACAACAGCTCATGCCGCCTGTACGGCCATCAGTTCAGTGTAATCAATCGTTTCATGTATGGCCGTTCACCCTATTTGTTTGATGTAAAAGTGCAATCATGTATCCATTTCAGGCAGCCGCTGGTCCATTTCTTACTTATTGCAAAACTTGGCGCTTTAAATATCTCTATCCGGGGGTTTAGAGGTTTTCACCCGCTGGCATTCACATTTTGTCCGTGGCCCACGCAAAATCTAGGACCGCAGGCATGTGTACAGGTTGCCCGAATACATGGAATACGGCATTCCGTACGTGACCACCCGGGAGCCGATGATTGACAGTTTAATAATGACATGGCAAGGCATTTACCAGGCACGTTATCATCCTTCTTACCGCCCTCGAGAAAGCACTCCCGCCATCTCATATTTTATCTTTTTACTTGCATAGGCCAACAGATGGCCTGCTTCAACCCGAGCGCCAGTTGTGGGAGCTCCTCGTTCTAATCCATTGGACCAACCCAAATGATTTGTGTACCTCGTCGCTCTTGTGTTGTACACCATCTCAATACTTTTCCCCACGGTCTTATGCAGAGACAAAGCTTCATTCGTACAGCGAATCCTTATTGCCGGCTTCTCTCCGAAATTGAAACCAGTGACTGCACCAAGTTCCATTACACATAAGATTTCCAGAATTCAAACGGTCACTCCGCCATACCATAGATGGTTCAACCTCGCAACCCCGCACCAACGCGTTCCGCTACCTATGGGATAAACTCAGATGCCGAAGTCAATTAATGGTGGTTATCAGTTTAAGCTTTAGTTCAAAATATTAACAGTTCAGCTGTAATAAGCGGCCGGATCCTGACTGCCGTTTTGCTAGGCGCAAGCATGTCTAAGGCACTGTCGTGTCGTCCAAGCCTCGGCATTCCATACATAAGCCAGGTTCATACCACAGGTCTTTCGGTCAGTAATTTCGCAGCCAATCACTGAACTATCATGCGCTCAAACACCAGCCTTTATGATGATTTCGGCCGACGTGGTTAATTCGGTTTTTGGAAACTTACAATCCATCAATAGGATATAGGCATATCCCAGCGATTTTCCTTTCTATTCCACTACCGCATTGCCCAAAATCTTCTGAGTGCATTGGGATAATCAGGTCACAGCCTATATATAGCGCTCGGCATACCAGCCAACCGACAAGTCCATATACTAACGAATGATTACCGACGCTACCACTCAGCATGATGACCCACCGGTAGTTTACTCTAGCTTTGCCGGTGCACTAGTATTCTCCCTATTACTTCCTGCCAGTGCGCCTAACATGTATGCAAAGATGATGCAACACGCATGCATCTGCTCATCACTGCTCAAAAGTTTATGTAGTTAGAGACTGAAGGCGTTCGGTTACATCGATGGTGACCACCAGATCAAGACCAACAAACAGTGCTGTTACTAATGTGGTGGCCTCCATCATGTGTAAGGGTCTAAATAAACGTCCTAGATGGTCAAATGCATTTCACGTTGGGGTCCCCTAGGATGTTGGTTTTCAGCCTCCTGGTGGAGTGCCATGGACCACTAATCAGCAGCGGTTAGCGTGAGAGAGGAACCCGAAAGATCACTTCTATGGGACATTTGCTTGGCACCAGGAGCCACAACACACTCAATAAGGATAGCATGATATGCTGTGAAAGTTAATGCCACAGTCCGTGCGCACATTAAACTTGCCGTACATTTCCAAGTGTCCGATTACGGGCGAATCTTTTAAAGAATTTTAGACTGAACTCCAAGTGGGGTACATCAAGCGGCCTCGGACAATCCCATTAATGGCATCAAAATTATGAAGGCATCCAAAAAATTCGTTGGTGTTAGTGACCGCCGCAATTACCGTGCTTATGGCAGTTAAAGGACTTTTTGGAATTCTCGGAAGAAAACAGTCTGTTGTGCTGTATATTGTCGGTGCACGACGCTTACTATTGTCTTATTGTGGTCCACTGGTCACAGAGAATCAAAAAAGCTAAGTTGTAGAGTAATGCTCACGCATGTATGCGACTAGTGTTCCCTCTGAAACAAAGGCACCGCCGTCATGAATTTGGATCATGCTGGAGTATTGTCGATTCGGCGTCCAAGCAGTTTCAAAACTTCGGAATCTTGCGGCTTCTTATTCTACTTGTAGACCATGCTATTGACGCAATACCGAAGGCCATCGACATTGTGGTATAGCTATTGTTGCAGTATACCAGAGGAGGGCCCTTGTACGCCCAAATTTATCGCGAGTTTTATCGCTTATCCTTTAAATTGTCGGTTCCGGATACGATGCGGATCCACCAGATGAGGAAGCGCTGGCTTTTTAATCTGATTCGGTAAGGTCAGACGCTGAAACAGAGCCCCCGGTCGCGGAAGCGTGCATGGCAAATTAGAGCCATATACCATCGCAGTCGTATAGAACCACTGAATCACGCCGATTGCATTTATTGCATACAGATGGGAAGCTGACAGTATAAAGGTTTGCTCACGCAGTGAGAATCGGAATAAGCCATCTAATATCGAGTTTTGCATAACGTCAAGTTTCCCGCAATCTGGCAATCCACTGCTGCCAGGTTGCGAAGTGGTTTGGCGATGCACCATCATAGTCCAGCAGAAGTAATATGCGCATACGATGTTTGAGTTCATTATATTGCAGAAGCTTTTTCGAGCGGCCATTAGCGACAACGAAGCAGGTTATTAGGGTCCATGCATCGCAGCCTGACGTCTGAGGTTTTGTGAACATCTCACTCATTTTTGCCAGTTTTGTTAGTTAAGGTGAGGCCAATAAACCGATCTTCTTTGACGCACTGAGGACGGATTTGAATGAAAGGGAACCTGCAAGTACCTCTTGGCTTCTGGCACCTTCGTCAATCTGAGGTTGTATTCTTTTCAAATCACCTCTTGGCCGCCACTGAGTGGGGGAATGAATGCTTAACTCCCCTTTGGAGGAATGCGAAAGCATACGAGAAAAAATACGTGTAGTAGACGTGAATTCACAGGTTCACAGGCACGGAGGACAGAAAACGTGATGTTCCCATCAGGTTCGTCAATACTTCCTTCGGGCTGTTTGGATACGCTCCGGGCAATCCATGAGCAGAAGACGAAAACGTCTCCCATAGAACCATTCGGATGTCTTCCGCAAATTTCACTCTCCAAGTCTATCGATGCAGTACGGATATGTGATAATTAAGGTATTATGTAAACGAGGTACGATCTCACGTTGAAGAAGACAATATCATGGTCGCATCTATGTCGTTTGTTCGTGTTTCGCAGGGGAAGATCAGTGTGCATGTTTTGCCGACGATATTATCACAGACTTTTGCATGAGACACGGTAGATCCTGCAAGAAATGGCTGGGTTCATGGCCGGGTATATGTTCATTTCACAGCAATCCCTTGTACTGAAAAGCGTAATTGAATCTTTTTCCTCACCTAGCCGATAGCCGGAATCCTTTTCTGCGGCGTCCAAACGTTCGAGCCGGATTGTCCCGGAAACGACAACATGCTTGCCCCATCCATGCCACAGGGATTTGGAGGTCGCATTTGGAGTTGTCCTCCAGGGGTGGTAGAATGGTTTACAGTAGGAACAGCTGCCGGATCATATTCTACTCTGTGAAATATTTGAATGTGCAGCAGTCAGACAGGGTTGAGTTCGATGTCGTTCAGCACTGACACCATGCGCATGATCATCACTGTGGCAAAATATTACGGTGGTGCGGACCTGGCTTATGGGATGGCGCAGCTTACTTACATAATACGTCCTGAACGAATAATGGCATATGTGCTTTTCTAAATTTGTGACCCAACCGTCAATGATGAGATAAAACTTGTCGACTCTCATGGGTCTCGGACAAGCCTTGGTTCTCCAAGTCAGTAGTTACCTTAAGAGAATATTCGGGGTATCATTCTCCTCAAATAGTAAAAGATTGGCGCAAACCATGGCAATACTTTTTGTGGAGACCTCGTCTTGTAAGTGAAGTCACTCCATGCTGAAAGGCCGAGAAGCACTGTACAGCTGTTTCATCCTCATTGGGAATCATCAGCGGTGCGTATCTCACGAAACTGCAGAGAGTCACGGACGCGCGACCCCCTGGCTAGTAGTTTGAACGGCCAGGAGAGGCCAATCAGAAGTATGATTAACTCGCACTTAGACAGGATATGGCGGCGCCCATCTTTCAGTCACGCGATCCATATTAGGCAATCACATGTGTTGACCAGCTCCTCGAGCAATGATTTCCCAGATGGAAATTTCAGTCGTCGGGTGAAGCTTATTCTTTCACTGAGCTACTCATAGATTGTTTGCAGTATGAGGAAAAGTTTGACCGCGTGATGTGGATCCTATGATTGAAGGTTGAGCAGCGCTGCATACTACGTTAGAGTTAACCACACTATTGGTCGGCCTCTCGTGGCCGAACGGTTAAGTGTTCAAAATACTAGTCAGGAAGTCGCGCGTTCGTGACTCCCCGGAGTTTCGTGAGATGCACACTGCTTCTTTGCTCTCCGGCATAGGGTAACTTCACTTGCAGGACGAAATCCTCGCAAAAACTCCCAAATCTCCTCACATTATTAACATGACAATACTATCGACAGGCGAGTCGAAGTGGGATCTAGCGGCCTAGGTACACCACAGGATCTGCAACGACTGGTACGTAGTCCCGGCATCAAATCGGTGGATGCATAAACTCTTCGACGTTTTTGTGCCATATTTCAGCGCTATTTCTAGTCTGTCACTGCAGATGCTGAAGCTAATAATAACATGTTTTGTTGGTATGTTTTTTCTGTGATACAAGGAGCGGCCGAAAGGTACTTCAAAACCCTTCGAGAATTCCTAGAAGTTTTGCAGCATTGCCACTTGCTGTAGTTGCTCCTCCCTACTTCATCAGAGTCGCAGCTTTGCCATTTTGTGGCCAGGAATCCAGAGTAGGGTACTTCAACACTCCCACCAGGTTCTATGGACGATGTGGAAGAGTGGGTGGGTGTGAATGCACTGCGTAGATTACCCCAGGAACTGCTGTGCACACGCGCACCGTGAGGCAGAGACCAAGGAAGCTGTTTGGACGTTCGATGCTCTCCCGGTTACTATGACGCGCCAAGTTGTGAACAGACGCCATGCAAGAAAATAATCTGATTCGAGCGGTGTATGACAGTGTTAGGTGAAAGCGGCGTTCAGTAAGCGGAATCCCAAAAAGGACGTTATGCCCACACCAAATAAAGTGCCTTGAGTCTCCTGAAAACATGGCCAAGGATCAACAGGACTTTGAGGACGAAAAGAAAGACCGGCTAAGTTAGTTAGAGATCAAGTTTCATGTGCAGAGAGATAAGGTTTACTTTTCTGTTCAAATATGCCCAACCAGAACAAAGCTAAAAATTTGGCGCGATAATCTATTCGAATGAGCGTGGCCACATCCGTGGCGCTCACTATTCGCCCAATGGAATTGAATTTTCGAAAGCTACGATGTGTCCCTGATAGATTGAAACAGGCAGGCAATTGAGTTCAGAGTCTACTTCGGATAGTGCCCACTGTTTATGTCCCTGTCCCATTTCCACGAAATTCCCAGTACCCACAAATCCCACCGGTCATGCTCTTATTCTGACTGCAACATTATAATCACGCCTGGAGGTATGCCACTCACTAGTTGAGAATAAAATTTATCATTATTATTACCAGCCCAAACTTTTGAGTCCCATCTTGGCACCTCGAGGTCTCAGGTGGGAAGTTTTCCACCAGAATTTTTCCGCAAGTGGTATGGTTGCTTCAGTGAACAATGAAATTTGGCGAGCTGCGAAAATATGAACGTAGATTAGGGTGTTTTTTGGTTTGAGCACATTCGCAACAAAACGCAGTGACTGAAGGATGAGCGGCGCTATGCCCTGTCTAAATGCGAGGTAATCACACTGCTGATCAGCCACTCGTGGCTGAACGGTTAAGCATTCAAACTATTAGCCGGGAGGTCACGGGTTCGAGACTCCCAGGAGTTTCGTGAGATGTGCACTGCTGATGATTCCCAGTAAGGATGAAACATCTGTTCAGTAACGTCTACTTTGGTAGCAAAATGGTCCCGTCTGGGTTCTCAAAATTATTATATTGGCGTTTTCGCGCACTACGACCCAATTTCTCTGCTGTCAGTGAAAGCAAATTAGTTCGACATGCATGAGTATTAAGGCCAGTTGATAAGTCTAGTGTCGTATTTGAGACATTACGTGAGTGCACACGGAGTGCTCTCCGGCCAGAGGATTGTATGGTAATTGATCCGCATCATTCCTTTCCAATTCATCAAACAAGGAATGAGTTTAATTATGGTGAGCCAATCGTCGCACAGACTACATATAGTCTCGATAGTTGTCATTCCATATCTACAGGTGTATTGGGATGAGCAACACTCCCCATTGTCCAGAAGTGAAAACAAAAAAAAAGGTTGAGGAAAGTATTTTACTTTGGTTGAAAGTGAAAAAAACATAAATGCTGGCACGGGTTCGAAGAATTGGTGCCTTGTAAGGTGGTTGATACGAATCCTCACTGTAAACACTGCGCGAAAAGATACGTTGCAAGAGCAACATAATGACCAACAAAGCCCAGTTCGGACCATTTGGACAGAACATGCCGCATACTGTAACCCTGCAGTGTGAAGAAGGATAAAACTTGACTGACAGGATGATAGTGGCCTGTAAAACAGAGCAATGTCGTCAAATCCACACAGTCCTAATAATTGTAATACTGAAAGTTAATTGCCCGCCCCCCTCTAAATTAGTATCCTTCAGCTGTAGCACCTTGTCGGTGCCTAGCTGCCATGCCACCAGAAAGAGACACGAGGGCTGGGGTACTGCCAGTTTGCACAGGCCTAGACAAGGGAAATCGAGAGGCAGAGGTCGGGTCCGAACCACGGACCTTCCGGTCAGCAGATTCGCGCTCCAACCACTAGAGCCATCTCGCCCCCTCAGGAAGGTAATTAAGGTACTAAGGATAGTCACACATGCTCAAGCTGACGACGTGACCAGATAATTTCGTGGAAGATGAGCTAAAAGAGCAGACCACTTTAATGGGACTACAAGTGAAGCCTTGCAGTGTACGATAACCCTAATCCTAAGGTGCATCCGCTCACGGTAGAAAGGTTCAGGTCAGCAGATAGGCCCGTCCAGAAAAACGCTATGAATAAATNTAATTTCGTGGAAGATGAGCTAAAAGAGCAGACCACTTTAATGGGACTACAAGTGAAGCCTTGCACTGTACGATAACCCTAATCCTAAGGTGCATCCGCTCACGGTACCTTTGAAAGGTTCAGCAGATAGGCCCGTACACAAAAACGGTATGAATAAATGGTAGACAAGCGTTAAACAAACCTGAGCTTGCTGTTCGCTCGAGTCGAACATCACAGCGAGGTAGGCTAGTTGGAATGCGGCGAGGCAGGAAAATCCCAGGTTGCACAACTGAACCCATAGCTGATTCTATAAATCAAAGAAAGGTCAGTTATACGAGGAATTAGTAGGAAACGGAGAAGATAAATAAAGAAAGTGATCTTATGGCCTGAAAAAAACGGACACGGGATGTGGAACTCGATGTCGGTCAACAAAGCAGTACAATACAAACTGAAACTGATGGGTCTCGTATTAGATCGGGTTTTCATGTTTCAACTCGGGCTGCTCGTCGAAGACTAACAGGACAATTTGTACAGTACCTGATGTACATGAGGATGAGAACGTATATATCTGGCCTACATTCAGGCCAGGTCTGAAGAACACAGGGGCGCTTTTTTAATTGGAAGAACAGGTTTCCCTCCGAACTGGGAATTTCCGTTCCCTTTTTCTGTAATGCTGTGCATACGAATTACACAAACATACAAACACGGTGACATTTCGAGGCGCCTGTCAACGGTTACATTAGCCCTTCCAACGAGCTTATAAATCAATGTAACCTCTCTGAAAAGAGCCACTGTGCCGGAAATTATCAATTATTACTAATCCAAACGGGCTGTTTTTATCAGCGATACATTCGACAGTGAAGGCAACTATGCCTAACACACTTTATCCGGGTTAAAGTAAACAATGGACAACCTCAGTACTAGGATGTATATCACGGCCATTCCCTTGCTCAAACTAATGTTCACCAGGGATCTAATGAGATCATCCAACATGACGATGGTATTAAGGAGTCGCGATTGACTGAGATCCAGCCAACTGACTCATAGTTTCACACGTCATAATGAACCTTACCAGACGCCTCGAGGAAGAGGAATCCTGTTAACATTGTGAGCTATCAGATAGCTGAGCTCCAGGTAGCTCAGTGGTTAAGGACCAGGAGGTCCATGATTCGAACCCAACCTCCGCATTTCGGCTGTTCCTGTCTAGCTTGAGAAAACTGGCAGTAGCCCAGCCCTCTTGCCTCCTTCGGTTGACATGGCAGCTAGGCGTTGAAAGGGTGCTTGCTACATTATGTTTTATCGGATCGTTGCAGTCGATCACCGTAGGGAACATGCGTAGAACCACAAGGCAATCAAGCACTCGAGATAAGATGGACACATGCTAGAGTGATAGAGCTGTACTCTTCTGCGTAGCATTCCAAAAACCCCTATTTTCAGGATGGTTTATGTTGACATGCAAAGGCGAAGCAATTCGGCCTCCACACCACTGCAGCCAAAGAACGACAGCTGATCGTTTGACCGTAACGGCATCAGCTGTTTATAGGGGTCGTAATTTAGCGAATCCCCATTTCGCCCCTCGGTTTGGCAGTGTGACCTCAATCAAGAGCTAAAGCACTTCCGATCCGCCACCATCACTAATGAAATACCCATTCTTTAGTTTTATTCATTCTAATCAAGCGCAGCGGTGAATACGCTCTCGGGGCCCGCCGTGTCATAGAGAGGGGCGCAGTGAAAATTGGAGTTTTTATGCATTTCGGTGAATGATGACATATACCAAATTGTTGAGATACGTCGGCACAAGCTGTCTCCCATTAAAAACCAAGCCCCGTCACACCAATCGCAAAAAAACGGATACTACAGTTTCCCAAAACAGAGAAAAGAACCAACCTTGTTGACATGTCCACAGTTTGGTCCACAGGATCGGCTGGCAACACAAGCATTCCAGTGGGCGGAGAGCCTTTCTCGAAGGACTAGGCAAGAGACGGAGGTAAGCAGAGCGTAAAGGTAGTGCTACTTGCACAAAAACCAGACGTAAAGTGGAGTGAAAGGGTTCCAGCGCGTAAGGATGAGATTAATGTACAGGAAATATAAATTAAAGAAACCAGACGTGGAAAATACGGTGCTTGGTGCTCGATACAGATCAAGTATCTGATCCGTCTGGAAGTTACGACATCTCCCAAAGTCTGCCGCGGAAAAATATATAGCTAGGGTTTGAAAGCAATCAATTGCACCCAATGAGAGGTTATGGTATAACTTCAGGTCACGAGGGAACCATTGTGCTAGCATACACTGGGTGACCTTTAGGAAAATGATGAAGCCCGCGAAGAAGTACAAATATTGTCTAGGAGCCTAGTTATAATCATTTAAAATAAAGTAACTCAGATATACTATTATTTGGGCCTGATGAAACCAAACTGTACTGATTGTGCCCTAGACACCATGTGACCATCACTAAACTGAGTAAGGAACCCTATGAACTACATGTATGTTCTGTGTGTCTTGGGGTTGTCCTTTTCCAAGCCAGCCTCGTGATTTTGATTGGCGGTGCGATTACATGGATATCACGACAGAACCAGTCCTGGAGGCCCAACCAAAGGGGAAAGAACACGCAGGGGTAAGTTGGTCGGCTGCCCATATTCCTACGCGTACCTATGCTGACATATATGTGTCGGACGGGGTGGCTTGTGTGGCAAGGTGAATGGTGGGGACGGGTGAGTAAAAAACGTACATGGGCGTAATAAGCAAATGAATGGGGGAATTATCATGATGTCATGTTAGTTTCAAAAGCCAAGATGTGACAAACACAAACAAACTCTGAGAATCCACGACAGACTCACCGAATTCAATATAGGCAAACATTCCGATGGAGAGTAGCACAGCGCTGAGTTGAAAGTTCAGACCCTTGAAGAGAATACAGGGTGGCAAACATTGCAAAGCACGTTGTTCGTGAATGCGGTTTTCAAATACGACCATTAGATGGATGACTGCATAATTTAAAAAAAGAATATTTGTCTGGTATGTTTTACGAGCATGGTGATTCCTGTTTACGAAGAAACCCTACATGAGGAAAATGGATCTTTTCCCGATGAGCCCCGCCACTAATGCAAAAAGTGCATGTGCGAAAAGTTCAGCCCCGTCACTTTTTTCCAGCTCCAATTTACTGTACGCACACAATCTTGACATATTTTTGATGGAAACATCATTTTGTGCAAAATTTTCCCCTTTCGGATGTAAAATCGTAGATAAACTTTCTGACGCTTTCAACTCTCGTTCATGACAAGGAGACGGCAATGCGTTTTTTGCAAAGCCATGGAGTGATCCATCAGTAATGGTTATGCAACAATGGCCACCAAATGACACTTTCAACTGTTTCCGGCAGGTGGTGTGATGTCCGACAGTGTCCGCAAGAAATCGGTCTTCGAAAAGGAACTTGGCTGGAGCGGTCCAGGATGGAGTTTAGGTACCGAAAAACAGACTTTTTTCATGTAAATTATTAGTGACATGTCCAAAGTTCGCCCTCTTCAATAAAAACTAAAATAACAAAGTTCATATCCTCTTTTTCCTAATCTTTTTGGGTGGTGAGGGTTTTGGCGGGGCTTATCTGGAAAAGATCCAGGAAAATTTAGTTTTCGGGTCAACTTTCTCACTAGTGAATTCCAGTTTAGTGGCGAAACCCCACAGTAAAGAGCGTCCGATAGAAATCAGTTCATCCAAATAGTGTTTGCAACCGGTCGTCTAGGTAGACCAATGTGTCGAATATAATCTTTGTGTTCTACACTGGCGTCGGTTTTCAATGGGTAAACCCCAAAACCCAGGCGAGCACTTGATAGGGGGAGGAAACCCAACTCCATCAAGTTGTGCCAATCCCGGATCGGCCACTTAGAAGTGAACGCCGTTGTCGACCACAGGAAGAAAAATAGGCAGATTTCAGTATACTTCGCCCGGACTCCAATACCACGTGAGCACTAGCAGCTTTAAATTCATTTCGTGTTGGTGAGCCCTGTTTACCCACACAGGCCGCATTGTCCTAGTAACCAGAACTGACACCCAAACAGGTGAGCAATATGGAAACGATAACTGTGAGGAAATCACTGAAGTACAATAGCGCGAAATCACCAGCTTCGCTTGAAGGCTGCACTCGATGATTAAAAAAACCGACGGCGGTAAAGAATATGACAAGAATCGGAAACTGTGAGTTGCGACACCTCTGAATGCTAGCGGTCGATTCAATCTGGGGAACTAAGTCCGTGCGTGCAGGAGGGCAAACAATATAAAACACATGGTAGGGTAGTAGCAGACTTTGGATTGGTTTATCAGGTTGACTTGTGGCCAAGAACAACCTTCTTTGAAGGAAAGTTTGCACAAGAGAAGATATTTTTGTCGGTTCACGGTTCACAGGTTCGACTCTTGTTTATGAAATGGACTTGGCTTCAACTGATGCTCTACTTTGACCAGTTGAAGCTGGTCTAGTCAAGGAGTCAATCAATACCAAATCTATTTGGAGAGGGACTATCTCTAGGTGAATTTCAACAACATAGAGAGAAGGTGGATATCGGTAGCTCTTCGCATTTTTAGTACGGGACAAATAGCAACAGGTGGAACGTGATTGTAAGGACACTGCTACTCTGGGCGAAATAGTGGATATGGGAATCCAACTTTGTCGTTTCGACCGCTCATGTCTAGGATTGGGCAACCTGGTAGCACCTCAGCCCGCGTGCATGGCAGCTAGGCACCAGAAGGGTGTTACAGCTGAACGATTACTAGTACTGGTACTGGTAAAGTGGAAATGGAGACATTTGCTTGATTGATATGAAAGTTACTCTGCGTGAAAAAATGGCCGTTTGTGCAACCGTTTGCAACGACTAATGTTCACCATCTCGTCTGGACAGAGATGCAGGAAAACCTTGCTCATTTTTGAGTATAGAAAATAATATATATTCTTCGGCTTGCATTCAAGACTGGGCGGTCAGTTGAGTTCAGTTCCAGAAAACTCGTTAGAACAATGACTGAAATAATTTACCGAATGCATGCCAACGTTGTTCCATTGTGAACGATACTCTCGTAGTAGATAAGGCGTATATTGCTAAGTTCGCCCGAACCTTTCTGTGACTTGCGAAGAAGAACCTAATAATGACTGTATATCATTCTTAAATATATTGCTTAAAAAGTCATGATGGATCGAGCAAACGCAGCGTCGACGGGAAACACACGTGGTCTGGACCGCGCATGCATTTTTCTGGTCTTAATCCGCCCACATACAACTGAAACGTCTTCCAAGCAGTGTTGACTTGAGCACGTAGAATCTCAAGTCACGAGCAGTGGCATTGACCAAGGCTAATGGAGGATACATAGAAACGAGATGTGGCATGATAGACTGGGTATATCTCGCTGTGCTTTCGGGTGTATAGTACAGATCAATATAAGATACATGAAACAAAACAAGACGCTTTGCCACCGGGATGTCACAAACATTTGAATCGCCCAGGGAGCGTCAACGAAATAGCTTTTGTTTCAATTGTTTTGGTTCCCATCTTGTAACAAAAATGCTAGTGATCCTGTGCACACAGCTGTGGGTTCGATACAATTCGGATCTTCAAGCAACTAACGGGCTACCAGTGAAGCCAGTAATGACCTTGAACTTGCCTACTGGTTTAGATTTATATTTGAGCCTGGTAGGGCGAGTCGCTTCATACGCTTCTGCATCCAAATTGAAATGCGTTCCGCCTGTCCAAGTCTAAGTTGTCTCTCAGTTCGACCAAGTCAGATGGCCGAACACACATAAAGGTCGGAAATCAGTTATATTTGTAGATGACCATAGGCTTGATATCTAGGCACAAAGCCCGCGAGACAAATGGTCTGAAGGCGGAGAGCTATTAACTAAGGACAGGGGGTGATCAAGCGTGATCTACTTACACTGAACGCAGTGTAATGAACAGAACTCGTGTGGAGGAAGTTACTAAAGTCACTGGTTTCACCGAACCTATGGCTACCGTTTTTACGACAAGGCTAGAGCATATCGAACCTACCGTTTTTACGACAAGGCTAGAGCATTTCCTTCAACCGGTGTGCAACGCCGTGGCAGGGAGAAATGCAAAGGATGATCATCGTAGGAGGGCGTATGTGAGAGGTATGTGCCTGCTTGTTCGTGTGAGAAATTTCACCACTTATGAACTGAAGATGCTCTTCAGACGTTTGGGTTGTGGAAGTGGTTTCATAGAAAACGCCCATACGGTACGCTTCAATAGGGTGGACACTGAGGCCTCATGGAGGTTCTTCGAGAATTTGATGTGCTTGGGGGTTGTCAAGAAAACATGCAAATTTGTCTGCGTTGATAACACGAAGTCAAGCGCGTCACTACACGCAGAGACAAGTTGGTGGGTTTAACTAAAGTGTTCTTCAAAACCGAGCGCCTAGTTCCCTGATTTGGTTTCTTCTGGGAAATGCGGAACCTCCTATTTTGAACAATGTGAAGTCGAGTACCAGTCTGGAAAATTTACGAACATATGAACATATGTGATTTTGTAGCGAAAGAATCATACTGACCCGTATCGCCCCCTTCAGCTGAGGAAGCTTTCTGCTCTCCTGATTGATGACAGAGGCTGCAAACACATCAGACGGTTGAAGCTACTTATTTGCGCCAATCAACATGTTGGCGGACGCCCGATTCGAGTTCCTTAATCTTAAATGACATGGTATATGGGCGCTAAACAGCAGTATGGTTCCATTCTTGCGAAAAGCCCCCAAAGGATTTGCAGCTAAAATAAATACATAATTATGGATAAAAACCAACCTCACTGGCTACAGTTGCAAGCCCAAGTAACTTGGTTGATGACATAGGGACGAATGCACCCTTTCCTGTTTCACCATTTGCTTAGAAAATACAAGTTGCAATCACCTGGTTGCGATATGGCTTCGTCAAGCGAATACATTTGCCTCTAGTAAGAGATCATTGGAAGAAAAACTGCAATATGGTTGGTTAATAAAAACTGTCAATAAAATGGACAAACATGGTAAAATCACTTTGGTCCGGCGGTCCAGTAGGTCACAGAAGAATAGACGCTTATGCGAGAGGATTCGAGTGAAAATTCGGAGGACTTAGCCGTGATGCGATCGCTTCAGCGGTTGCAAGTAACTCTGGGCGGCTTGGAAGAAACGGATAATCACTCTGACTGATTAGGTGATTATACAGGTCGGCGCCAAACCTTCTGTACTGTAATAATCTTTACAAGGAAGGATGCCTTGAAGACAGGCCATCACCATGGAAGGCCTACAAGAGGTCAGACACATTGTGGGATACATCCGAGACAGCTCCTCACTCGATATGACCTCACTCCACAACAATAAGTGCAAATGCTTGCTTACTTGACTGATCAGATCAGATCTGAACAACAAACGTGCAAATCATCGGTTCCAAGTTATAGTAGTCATTCTCAAACCAAAGCCGGCTACTGCCTTCATAGGGGACCACTGTAAAGGGCTTATTTCACATCCAGCCTCTCCGGCGTGTGAACAAAATGTGTGATGTAAGCCGATAAAATTGCAATACTGAATGGATCGGTTGCATCACCGAGAGTAATACGCAATCAGTATGATACAGAAGAGAATGTTGGTAGCCCGGATTGTTCATCAATCACGCATCAATGGTAAATAGTGGTAATTAGCTGCCAAAAGACCGACTGTGTTGCCAAGTAATTATCTGTAATCAAAGCACTATCCCAACTATGACCAGATTCACTGTTTCAAGGTCAATAGGAACACCAGACTGTGTCTAACCACCAGAAAACATGGTTGATTGTCTGATTCCAACACCGTACGACCCTCCCAACAAGCACAAGATGCTAAAACAGGCTTACTCCTCTCAACTTTGAGAGAAACGAAAAGACTTACATGCAACAAGGAGCTGGCAGCATAAGTTGTAAGGATCGCCTGCACGTGACCATATACACGGATAGGCTTGTAAACATCTGACGAATGAAGAGCATAGCGGCACACAGATAAAGAAACAGCGCTCAATCGAATTAATTAGTCGCAACTTACCAAGTAGAAATGAAGGGCTAAAGTAGAAAAATCTCAATTAAAATTTTGGACAATTAAAGCGTCCTACCAATAGAATTAAGGTTTCTGAGAGGTTATGATGACTTCAAAGCAACAGGCAGTCCTTGGGAAGGGAATATAGTGAGCCTTTCACAACAAACAGTCTGTTCTCAAAGTAATTTTATGGCAATGACGCAGAACGACAACAACACAAAGATCTGCTGTATTTTGTGGTGTTTACGAAGAACTTCACAACTGATACAGATATGCGAGCCTTTCACAACAAACAACCTGTTTTCAAAGTATTATTATGGCAATGATGCAGAACGACAACACGACAAAGACCTGCCATATTTTGTGGTGCTAACGAAGAACTTCACAACTGATACAGATATAAAGCTCTTACAGCTATATGAACTAGGTTCAGGTCTCGTCCACTGTGTAAATTACGTAACTACGCGGTTACAAACCGTGCGAGAGTCATAAAGTTTCCATAGTTTCCATTTTGGCTTACACTACAGTCAAGACTAATCTCAATGTATGGTTCTGTCCAAGTTCCTGATAGGTATTTGGGTTGTAGGCATGCAGTGGTACACTATGTCCCGCTTGAGTGCTAGTTAACTGCACGTGTTGGAATCAAACTCGTTTTCCCAAGGTCGCGAGCTGAACTCCTTTTGAGTACCCGAAAAATGCATGGAGTAATGGCTTCAAACACGAAACAGCTATATATTGCCTCTCAGCCTTTCTGTACGGTTGAAGTTGCATTAGAGAATGAAAGTCATGTCGATGTGTAAAAAAGCACACAGGTAGACACTTGCCACACGACTCACGTTGTTTCAGCCAACTATGCATTGGGAGATTCCAGTTGACAACTACGTCAACCAATGAGCGAGGGAATTCAATGGATAACATGTGTGTCACGTGAATAGGTCTGGGAAACGAAAGGGGAGTGGTGAATGGAACCAGTCATTTACTACCATGGAAGATTCAACAAAAGGATATACAATGGAGAGATGGCATACCACTTTCAAAAGGTCACTTAGAGTGAATGTTATCTATCTCTAAGCCTAATGCACTAATGGTTTTGAGTGTTTGAACACAGTGTTCAATTCAGTAAGATTTTCAATCGATCAACTCGGTAAGCGGTTAATAAGCATTCGTCACATATGCGCCTTAGATTCCGTCAACCAACCAAGAGATGACGTTCGTTCGAAACATTCAGGAAGGGAGAACGTGTATTGTCTTGGCGAGCTTCCAAACATCGACGCCATCAATATTTTCGGCTCCGTTAAAGATAAGTCACAAACGCAGTCCACAGGGACACGGATCCAGCACCCATTCTGGTTCTACAGCGGTCTATTATCGAATCGCTGGTTGTCATTGGCTATTTGGTAAACCAATCACATTCAGGACACAAGGACGTCGGCCTGTGACATGTTGGGTTAGTCGCACTGTACTATGAACCAACGGGTTATGTGGAGTGAATGTTCATGCTGGCACTCTTGGGCACCAGGCGAATCATAGCAAGCCTGATTACTAAACCAACTTGAACAAGCCAGGAGCAGGACACTAACTTGAATGGCGACGCGTCTTGGTGAACAGGATATAGAGAAAAAACATGGGACGCAATAGTTAACAAGTAACTGCCTACCCGTTAGATGAGGTCCGCGACGAAGATGTGGGGGCAGTAAGCTCAGTGGTTGAATCCACGTTTATATAACCAATACCCAAAGCAGCAAGGAAAGCTTCACTTGAATAGCTGACGAAATAGTTGCTAAATCGGAAGCTCTGAGAGGCCAGGTAGGCATTCAACCATTTGTAATAATATCTAGAGAACCAGTAGAGATAGATACAAAATAGAAAGTAGGCGGTAAAAATTAAAAAAAAAACAGGTACTTATTAGGTTGGGTCCGCACACAATTGCCAATTTGTCG